ATTTTATAAAATAAATTTGACTCGACTCGACTCGAAAAAAATGAGTCGAATAGAGTTGGTCTTTAAATTCGACTCGACTCGACTCATTCGGAACTCTAGTTTTAGTTTTATTCTGCTTGTAAATTTTTTCATTAAAAAAAATCATTTAACCCAGTTCTTTGGTTACATGAAATTCTCACATTTTAATTGGTAGATCATGTATCATGTGATGAGTTAAGACTTTTGACACCATATTAATTTTAAAAATTTAAAAATACTATCATTAGATAGATCTTAATATGACAAATCTAATTAATTCTATTTTATCTTTTTATAATTACTAGATATTAAAATATTATAATTTTTCTACAATGTTTTATAGCCAATTTGTATCTACGCTTTAAGGAATACAATTAATTTGCTATTTAAACTAATTAAACTTTTTTAGTAAATATTTGCTAGTATTAATCTGCAGTTTTTCAAATATTTGATATTATTTTTGTTAAAAAGATGTAAATTTGGGATACTGATTTTTACTCAGAAAGTTATGGTTATATAATATCAGTTTATTATATTTAGATCAATATATACCAATAACTATTAAATTTCAATTCAGCGAAATGCAAAAAAATATTTAGTTATTAATACAATTAATAGAAAATTCCATTTGTAAAAATACAATTAAATAAATTGTATGTTTTTTAGTCATGAATTTTATAACTTAAAAATATAAATATCAATATCAATTTCTTCCAAATTTTATTTTTATTTTAATAAAAATTGATATATAGGTTGAATTTTAGATAATATGCTGATTTAGGCTGATTTATCATATGTCCAATTTTTTGATTTTGCTTGCCAGATATTAGGAAATTTAGTTTGCCAAAGTTATGTAGGTGTTTATATAATGATTAAAAAATTACAGAAAGAACAAAATATTGACTTTCAAGTTGAATGTATAGTGAACAGCCATCATCAAAGTACTGTAAAAGGGTCTCAATTGATAGAAGCAAAGAATTATGACCATTGTTAATGACAGAAAATCGTTCAGTAATGGACTTTCTCCATGGGATCGCGCAACAACCTTTCATGTAGTTAATTTTATTTAGCTTTTAATACATTTATTATTCTACGAAAGTGTTGAAAATTAAATAAACTTTATTATTTTGCGAAAGTTTTACAGAACCATTATTTTACAAAATTTATTATTTTAAAAAGTTATCCAAAATTTAAATAAAACTTTATTATTTTGTTAACTTTGTACAAATGAATAATATTTCGTTAAACTGAAATTGTATAATAATCACTTTCTATGATATTAAGTGTCGGGATTTTATACAAGTCGGGATTTGTACTTGTTGGGATTTTGGCATTCGGGATTATGGGTTTCGGGATTTAGAAGACATCTCACCCGAATATGATGCATCCCAGTCATCTGCTTCACCATAGTATATTTCACCCTCAAAGTATTTAAGTTGTCTCATCATAAAGATCGGGCATGGTTGAGACACTCACCACAGAAATAATTTCCGGTAAACATAATTTATCTTGATTTCTTTTTCACTTCTCCAATTTTATCTCAGATTTTCTATATTCGGACATTGATTTACCCGAATTATATACATCTGATCATAAAATAGTTTTACGTTCAAAGTCATACCTCTAAATCAGGAACTTATCTCTTTGGAAATCCAGTGGCAACGAATCCATTTATATTTTTAGTTGTTCCGCCATTTATAGTCTTGATACCGAATATTGGTATTCCTCAATATTTTATGGCAAACAAAAATCTAGGCCACTAAACCAGCATTGTAAACTCATAACTAGACAACTTCAAACAAACATTAAATTTCATAGCTTGTCGGACAACTTCTTCATTGGTTGACATAAAATCATCAATAAATGTCGGTTTTTTTTTTTTTTTGGATTTTCGTATACCTACCAACATTTCTAAAACGTCTTGCCGAATTGTCACATAATTCGTAGTACTTCTCGAAATAGTACCATGCCGAGAATATGCGACAAATAGCGGAATGTATGATAAATATTCTTCTAAATTTAGGAAGCCCTGAAAAAAAAAAAATAAAACAAGCCAAGTAAAGAAATTCATTTTCAGTCATATTAATTAAGGTATAACCATTAAAATACTTCTTACGATATTATTTTTGTTAAGGTTCAAGTTATTTCTTTTTGTAAAAATGTAAATAATTAGATGATCAGAGAAAACGTGAATTATAAATAAAAGGCATGAGCTTAAATGTGATAATCAATTTCAATACTTTTGCAGCAGGTATAATTTCAGGGGCTTGTTTGGTTTCTTACTAAAACTAGTCAAACACAAAATTTATTTTAATTTAATTCAAAATTTTGTTAATAAGAAATAATTTTCAATTATGAAACGGGGAAATTCACTTACTGATGATTTAAAATATATCAACAACGACCCTGAATTTAGTGATATAGAAATTACTTGTGAAGATGGAAGAACCTTACATGGTAATCGTACTATTATGGGAGCTCGGTCTGAAGTTCTATATAAGCTTCTCTTTAATGAAAGGAAAGAATCGACTGAATCAAAAATTTCATTTCCGGAAATCAATTCTTCTGCAATGAAAGTGGTGATGGAATATATTTATACTGGATTGGTTTCTAATGAAAATTTTGCCAACGAAAGTTTGGAAAACTTGGTTAACATTTTTTATGCTGCAGATTATTTTCAGTTATCAAAATTACAAGATGAAGTTGTTGTAGTTCTTTTAACTAAATATTTTTCAAAACTCTCATTGGATAAGATTAGATTTGAAGAGATGTCTTTAAAGGTTTTACAATGCTTTTTAACTCAAACTTTTAAAACAGATGAAACAATTTCTACAAATGAATATAATATTTTACGTTTCACTATATTGAAATTAGTTTATGAAATTAACCAAAGTTTAGTTTCAACATTTGAAAGAATGATGCCATTAGAAGATGGAATGGTGGGAAATTATGATGATATAAGGAATCTTTATAAGAAATCTTCAAAAGTTTGGGAGATTCTTCCTGATGTTGCAAAAAAATTAAAACCTTTAATAGAATTTATAGATTTGAGAAGAATTGATTTAAAAGATATGGAAAATATTTTTGAACCGTTGGATATCATTTCAAAAGAAGATCTTTTAGAATTTTTTCGATATCATGCCAAAGTTAAAACTCCTATTTCATATACTCGTGGAATGCCGTTTTTTACGTGGGACAAAAAACATTGTGGAGATGGAATTACTATACATAATGATGAAGTTACTGTTTCAAATGAAAAATCTGGTCATCACACTGTAAGAACTAAGCAAGTTATTTGTGGAAAAGGCGTTTATGAATGGGATGTTATAATTGAAGAATTTTGTGTTAATACTTGGGTAGGAGTGTGTACAGAATCAGGACTTGACTATAATAATTTTGCTGGATATCAACCTCATGGATGGGCATTTGGTTCGAATGGTTGCGTTCATAATAATAATAAAGAAATTCGTTACTCGGGTACTTTTAAAAAGGGAGACAGAATTAGCGTTCACTTAAATATGAACGAACGAACTTGTGCATTCTCAATTAATGGAATAAAGCATGGAACCGTTAAAGTTTGGACAGATCTTCCGGACTGGTTGTATCCAGTTGTATCAATAACGAAACCTGGTAAAAGTCGAATTCAACCATATAAAAAATTTAATAGCTAAAATAAAAATAAAAAGTTATATAATATATAATCTAGTACAGTTTATTTAAAATACATTTTAGGAAGGTCGGATACAGTATTATAATCTTTATAACGATAAAACTTATTTACTTGATTTGTAAATCTCGAAGTGAAATAAAAAGGAATAAGTAAAATAAACCGTTTTTATAATGAAAGTTCTCGCCAATTATACATGTTAAAAATAGTATGCAATCATAGCAATCACTAAATATTTAATCTCAACCGAATTGTGTTTAAGTTACTTTGATTAAAAATCATAATAAGGAGAATTATCATCATTTGTTTGTTCATGTTCAGGTAAATATTGTGAAGAACAATTGTCTCCTATTTGTTCAGGTTGATATGTAGGGGAACCATCATCCGTATAAGATGCAAGTTCATAGGTAGGACAACTTTGATATATTTGTCCCGTTGATTCAGAAAAATATTCTTCATTTTGAGAATACCTTGAAGAATCTTCGCTTGGAACGTATCTCGGAGATTTGTCATCAAGAAGAAAAGATTGATCCATTGAGATAATAGATGCGTCTATAGGAGTTCTAAGAACAAATTGATCCTTACTAGAAACATACGTTGGAGATCTTTCAACGTCATATCTCGGAGAATTTCCATTTGTAAAATCTAATTCATCGTTGTTGAAAGGTGTGATAGGTGGTTCTTCCATTTCAGAATCAATTCTAAAAGTGGAATTATAGTGATCTGTTCCGATTCCTATCATTGAGGATTCTGGTGCTGTTTTTAATAACGAAATTAAAATTAATTAAACGTTAAGTTACAAATTGAATAGGATTGAAATTTAGCTTACGAGTAAATGTTAAAATTTTATGAATAAAATCAACATGAGATATAAGCATTCGACGACAACAATATCTGGTTATTCCAAGAGATTCCAACGCGGCACTTTTCATATCATAAAAAGAATCAACTTTTTGTTTACATTAATGATTTAATTTAATGGTGAAATTAAAAGGTACCTTTCAGAATATTCGCTATCTAACATCGTCTGATAATGATTCCATTTATTGGCCAATACTTTACCGCAAGTATAACAACGAATTGGAACAATCATTTTTTTTTTTTTTTTTTTTTTTTTTTGAAGTTTGCTTTAAAATGATTAAAATGATTCGTATTTATTCTAACTTACAAACCAGTATCAATGATTACGAATTGTGATGCAATTACATTTTTACGAGAAAAGTTTTTACATAATCTTTACGCGTAATCGAATTGATGATTGATGCTTGCTTTTAAATTCTCTAAAATCAAATAATTCAACCATGAAACTCCGGAAATTTTTTGTTTACCGCATACTTTACATGGATTCAAATTGTATCATGTTTTATATAAGTAAAAAAAAATCTTTTTTTTTTTCATTAAAGGAATTTATAATTTTCTTTTTTTGTAATTCATTATTTATTTCTCGTAAATAGTTGGAAGTTTTTTACTTTATTTTCAGGTCATATTTTTTGAATGTTCTTTATCTCGTTAGAAAGCCAAATGGCACGTCACTATGATTCGTAAAACTCTAGTTGTATTAAGGTTATAAAGTTGTTTTTTAGCAAAATCAGGTTGAAATTACGTTTTCGGTTTTTAAACGATAGTTTAGGTGCTTCCACCTCCTTAAAATAATCATTAATATTTAAATCATCAGGCATTCGATCTCATGTTCAAAGAATAAATAATTCAAATTATGCAAAAATGATAAAAAAAAAATGGGAAAAAGCAAAAAATAATAAACATGAAAATTAGAGCTATATTAAATAATAAAGAATTTATGATTAAAAGTAATAGTAATAATATAAAATAAAATTGATTATATATGTAAATCAAATATAGATTCTAAAATTTCTATATTTTCAAGTGAATTAGTTAATAAACATATAAAAATCTATAAGTAGCTTAGAAAGAATTAAATTTTGCAGGTTATGATTATAGATCTTTTTTTTATTACAAATATTTATAAATATTTAGAAATCAGTTTTAATATATTAATCAGTTATTGATACAAAAAAATGTTAGATTGATATATATTTTTAAGAAAAACTACTCTGTATAATATATATTAGAAGTATATCAATTAATATTTAAAATAAGTTATATATTTTAAGGTAATTGGATTATTTGACTTTTCTAATCAAATTTTTACACAGAAAATTATTATATATTATTAATAATATTGATAAATAAACTTGTATTTAAAAAACATTTTAAAAAAAAAAATTGCTTCTAAATTAAATTAGTATAAATTTTTTATTAGTTAAAAATAACTTTTAACAAATACAGTCATACCTTTTTATACTCACGCAGTTGGGAACATGTAAAATATGTGCTTATATAGAGGTGTGACTATATATTAAATAGTGCTCCAAGCTGGTCAAGTCGACCCGGGTTGATCGACCTGACTCGAATTTTTTCTTGAGTCAGGTTTATCATTTTTATGACACGAATCCTAATTCGATAAAACCCGTTGGGTCAGGGTCACGTTTTTTCTTGACCTGGGTGACCCAGGTGACCCGGATGATCAGTGATCTAAATTTTCGTAATATAAATTACGCGCTAGACTAATTTACATTACGCGACTTGAATTTGTAAACAAATAATATATAATGAGTGAAACTATAGACATTACCAATATAG